TAGTTTGCATTCCCACCAGCAATGCAGGAGAGTTCCTTTTTCTCCACATCCTCGCCAACATTTGTTGTTGCTAGTTGTTTGAAGATGTGCCATTTATTCACCACTTTTAATGCCTAAAATATAACTCCCATTTATTACATTTTGTAAGCATTATTGACATTGCTAATATGAATATTAGTAAACCTCATTGTGGTTATTAAAATTTAGAATGAAGTAAAATCTTGTCTGCTTTGTCTGTAGATATATTACTTAGAAAAATTGGTAGATATTAGAAAAATTTGCATTTTTCACTGCTCAAATCCTATAGATCTTAAAAGGATGTATTCTAACATGACATAAAAGAGAAAGATGAAAAAATGACCCTTTTTTCAAATTCCTTATTTGAAAAATAAAGAAAAAAATCTTCTATTTTCTGTTGATCACCTGTGAAGTCAGACTTGTGTTTGTTCCCTGAGGAAATAACCCCAGATATCAATAGACATTATATTAACGTAGAGATTTTAAGGTTAAATATTTGATATGAAAACTTGACCGATTTACCAATTTTGAGGGTTTTTTTTTTGAAAGATTTATTTATGCATACAAGAACTGAGGTAGAGGCCAGAGGTGTGGGGCGTGAGAGGATTCACCAGAGACAGAGGGGGGAACCAGAGCAGGCAGATCGACTGAAATACACTGCTGAGGGTGAGACAGAAAAGGTCCGCCACCCCATGTGGGTCACCTTCCTGGCTGAGATCAAACCTGTGCTGCAGTGGCTGCAGACAGCTTCATAATGCTGTGCTTTAACCCCTTGCATCATGTGGGAGAGCCCAACTTTTGAGTTTTTAAAGTCAAAAATTGTGTTTATACAATATCAATCTCATTGTCACTGGGATATAGATATACTTTTGGGAGAATCTTTTGTAAAATGCTTGCAAGATCTGACGGTGCCTAGTAGAGTGATAGATATCACGACTCTGGTGATAAGAGCCTGTGACCATTTTCTGTTCTCAATTTTGCAGCGCTGGGATATGAAGCTCCGTCATCTTGGACTGAGTAAAAGTGATTCGAGTCTCAGTGATTCCACACAGAGTCAGAAGTCTGGCAGGAATTCTCAGCCCCGGCAGGCACGCAACTAAATCCTGAAATGCAGAAAGAATATCAATGGATTTCCTACTAAGACTTGCATTGCTGGACTAGCAAGAGAAAATTGCACTATTGCACGTCATATTCTATTTTTTACCACAAAAAAATCATGTGGTAACTGATTACTTCTATTTTCTCTTTTATTTTCTGCTTTTCTTTTTCTTTCCCTATTCCCCCAACTTTTTTGTGGTTTGGGTGCAGATCCTTAAAACATATGTATTCTATTTCGCTAATCATGGGAAAATTATTCTTTGCAATAATGATAAATTAAACATGTTGATATCAGGGGCTCTTGGCTGGAGTAAATTTACCATTCTGTTCTTGTCTGGATGGGGAATGCAATATTGGATGCAAACAGGGAGTTCTGGTAAATAAAGAAAGCTAGATATGCTGTAAAATATACACTACAGATCGAATTACAAGCCTCATTTTTGTATGCCTTAGGGACATTCTCACACTTATGAAATCTAAATGTGTGTAAAGGTAGGATGGCAGTTTGAAATCAAGTGCCACACAGGCAAAGCAATCAAGCGCGGGAAGCATTTATGAGAAAACGACATGTAAGATGAGCTATTTGCAAGATTGGCAGGAAGCAAAGTAGTGTTAGGAGTTGGGGAAGAACATTTTGCTTGATTGAGAAGCACAACTGAAACCAATAGCTGGTGTGGTATTAGCAGTAGCTTTTTTTTTTTTTGGCAATATATTCATTTGATTATGAATATATTAGTCAGCATTAAGGATGTGAATTACAGCTAGACATCTGCTGTTATCAGCATTTTGTTTAATTTGCATCCCTAAATAATCCCTTTGGTATACATCTTTTTCTTTCTTTTCAATAAAATAAATCTGACTTGCTGCATTGACCAGAGAGAGAATGTGGACATGTGCACCAGGATGTTATTTTTAAAAGGTATGTAGTTCTATAAAATGCTGTAGTTGCAGGACATAAAATGTGCAAGGTTCTTCTTTTGATGTGTGTGCGTGTTTGTACGTGTGTGTGTGTGTGTGCACTCACACCCAAGCTGGACTGAATGACAGACCTACGCTTTATCATTTGGATTTGGGATGTTTAATGCTCAGCAAAGTATCTAATAAAAGAAATTATTGTTGGTCTTCCCTTCAATTTTCGTGTTTGATATCTAGAACCAAATTTCTAGCTAGGGTACACTGAAAATACTGCTCTGAAGCAAAGTGGTGCTGGTTCCATCTATAAGGACAACCAGATAAGAATGAAAATCTTTTCTGAACAAAGGTTTCTTAAAATGGCAAATAATAATTCATCTAAATTCTCTGTGGAAAGAAGAGAACACCCTGCCTTCTGATAGGTCCCCAAACTCCAACAAATTCCTCAGTCCCAAAAGGAAAGTTGCCCACTTTTGCTTTCATGGGGACCACATCACCTCCGAAGATGCTCGGGGGTCACTTTCAGATAATTTCAATGTCTGCCCTTTGCTTTTTATCCCCAGGTGTCCAGTCTGGGTATAACGTCTTCACCATGCTGCTGTTGTAGCAGAGGGTGAATTTGGGTGTCACAGGGTAGAAATGAAGGGGCACAGTGGATGAACGGCTCCGCAGAATCACTTGTCTTGCTTTCTGTGCTTTGACTTGAGCTTTAAGGACTGATGGCTGCCATGTAGAGCTTTTATGCATCATGCTTTTTCCTCATGCTTTTTTCCTCATGCTTTTTCCTGTTCACTGTGGGAAGACAGGCAAGAACAGACTGCACAAGATTTAAAGAGATTAGTTTCTCCATCCAGATATCATCAACTCTTCCAAAGCATAGCAAGTGGCGAAATAATTTGATGTACAATGAAAGCCATAGATGCTTTCAGCCCCTGCAGTTTTCTTTGGAGGTAGAGCAATAAATTTTGTGTAGAAATTAGACACAATTGATGTGCAGTCCATGTACAACTTTTAAGTGAAAGTGGCCTAGATTCTTTCTTAGGTTTAGCAGTGTTTTTCGGCCACCTTCCACACTGGCCATGTATATGCAATGTTTGATCATGTCATCTGTAGGAAGCTCAGTTACTTTAAAGTCACTAATGGCACAAAGCCCATAAATAAAGTTCATTTAGTAGTTATGTTTGATAGTTATAATGTGTTCATTAAGAATTGTGTGTAGACTTTGGGTGATGGCAATATTTTTATTATGGCGGTCACATTTTTAATTTAACTGCAAGACCTTTTCTGTAATTGCTATAAAACATAACACATCTCATTAGTGCCTCTCTCTAGGTCTTTCAGATAGGTATTAATTTACCAACCCATACAATTTTAATATGTATGCATCCTTGTCAGTAAGTTTGAGAGCTATAAGATTATTCTTTTGAAAAATTTTGTTCACCTTTAGGATTTTAATATTGCCAGTCAAAGAATGAAATGTTAGAAGCATGCTGAATAAAGTAGTAAAACTTAAAAGAACCAACTTAGTTGCCTTCCTGGATCTGTAGTCTACTGTGTCACAGATAGAGTGTAATCTGACCCAGTGCCATATGTTGCAGTGAGCATGGGGGTTGGGTGGGACAAATCAATGTCTTTCCACATCTGTTAGATGTTAAGAAGGCAAATAACAAAAATTACAATCACTGTGAGTAAACAGCACTACTTGTTGCCTTCAGCAAGATATTATTTGCTATTTTCAACAGTAAGATAACCCCCCCCCCAAAAGTATTTCAAGATTGGTGTTTGTTTAAACTGGGAATTTTAATACTTAAATAATTAAGAATTCAAGTACATGGTAAAAAAGTATGTGAAGCAGGGTTTCTAATTCTGTCATTGAAGTCATATATACAGAATTTTTTAAAATGGCTCTCAGCTGTGTTAAAATCAACAAAAACAACAGAGTAGTCATATCTTTCATGATGATCTCTTTGGGTAATAATGTAAGAGTGACTCAAGCTCTACACAAAGCACTGTTGTGTGTTGCTTCACGTTATATTTGGAAATCTGTGAAGTAGGTTTGTTATTTTATAGAAGAGGCAATCTTGGATTTAGAACATCACAGCTATGATGTAGCAGAGCTGGGCCTTAGGCCCTCTTATTCTTTCTCCTAAGTTATGCTTTCTGCCATTATAATTGTTAACACAAAGGTATGAAGTGTTCCAGCTTATTTTTTTTCTTACATTGTGTTCTACTGATTACATGTCAGAAAGCCTTTCTGATGTAGTTCCAACTCTGACCAAACTGCCAATTCCATTTAGTTGCCCTGGTCTATGAAATAAAAATTTCAAAGGAATGATTCGCATACAGGATTAGCAGGTAAATGAACAGCTTTAAAGATTCTTTTAATCTTAACAGTTTAAAGATTTGTGTTCTTACTAGAAAAAAAAATTATATTTACTCTTTAAGTTTCTATTTTTCCTTAAATTTGAAGAAAATCAGGAGAGAAGTTGAAATTAAAAGTTGATGGCTACTACAATAATACTATTAGGGGAAAGGATGCCCTGAGGGAACTCTACAGATATGAGTTTTATAGACTCCACCCCTACCTCAGACACCGAACTACAAATCCTAGCATCACTGAAGGAAGGATTGCTGGGACAGGCTGGCATTAAGCAGCCATTGTTTGGATATAAAACCAGACATGTGGGCTTTGGCCTCCTGGGTCACAGTGTGTCTCTTGGCTTTTCACCAGTTCTCAGCATGCTACTGTGGTTCCAGGTCAGCGGAACTGGTAGGACACATTAACCAACATATCTCTATTTCCCTAAGTTATTCATTTTTCTTTCTTTTGTAAATAAACCCTTTTTGTGTGTCCCTGCAGTTGAATCTTATAAATCCTTTTTTTTTTGCTTTCACTAACATATATGTAGTTTCATTATAATTTTTATTTTTTTTTACACCGTTCTTCCTTTTGTGCATTTTTTTCATCTCAGTTGTAATCCCTGTGTACTTTCCACCACCAGTTCACACGTGCGCCATCACCACAGTCCAGTGCACTCTTCCCACCCCAATTCTGATCCCATTCCCCCTTGCACCCCCCAAAAAATGTCTCTGGTTTATAGTTGTTCATTATTTTCATTTTTACTCTTTTTACTCTATTACATTTATTTATTTATGTCTCTCCTCCCCCACCCCCCAATCCCTTACAATCCTGCTATGAGTAAAACCTTTTGGTATTTTTCTTTTTCTTTCTGGCTTATTTCATTAATCCTTTTAAGTATACAGTCAGTTCCCAGTTTGCATTGGGTTGCCCTGTAACAATACCACAAGGAAAAAACCCAACTAATAAATGAAGATCATATAATTAATCAAAAAAGAGGTCCACAGGACATAAATACATGGGAAAATGTTCATTGTTTTTAATAATGGAGATGTAGATAAAAACCACAATGAGCTATCACCTCACACCTATGAAAATGGCACACATTTAAAAAAAAAACAAACCCAACAACTTTTGAAAGGATACAGAGAAAGAGGAACCCTCTTACACTACTGTTGGTGGGAATGTAAACTGGTGCAGCCATTTGGAAAGCAATCTGCATTTAACTTAGAAAAGTTAAAATGGAAATACCATATGACTGTATCCTGGGCTTATAGTCAAAGAACATGAGACCATCAACTCAAAAATCTGTTTTACAACATCTAGCAGAACTATTTACAATGGCTCAGACTTGGAAACTACCTGGATGCCCAACAGGTTCCATGTTGTGGTGTATGCAAATTTGGAATACTATTCAATCATAAGGAAAGATGAAATGTCACAGCAAAATGCAAGGTGTTCAAGGGAAGTTTGTGAAGTAAAACAAGAAAAAACAGACAAGCAATGGATATTTACAGCTGGTAACTCAAAGTAAATGGCTCATAAAAATCAGTTGTCGTTAATGAACAAAATAAGGTTCCTGAGATTAAGAGGGAGGGAAGAGGAAGCAAGGAACAAAAAGCATCTAAAGGATTAAAAAGGGCCTAAAGGGGCCCTTCCTGGTGGCACAGGTATTAAAGTGTAGACTATGAAGCTACCTGCAGCCGCTTCAGCACAAGTTCGATCCCTGGCCAGGGAGATAATCCACATAGGTAGCAGACCTCTCCTGCCTCCCCACTGTGCCCCTCAGCAGTATATTTCAGTACATCTGTCTGTTCTGCTCTCCACTCTGTCTCTGGTGAATGCTCTCACTCCCTGCACCTCTGACCTGTACTCCAGTTCTGTATGCATAAATAAATCTTTAAAATAAAATGCCAGATTAAAAAAATATCCTGAATTCAACTTCAGATTAAAATTGAAATCTTTCATTTTCTCTTCTAGCAAGCAGATGTGCTTCGAAAGTAACACTACTAAGAGAGAAGAGGTATACTTCTTAGTATACCTTAGCATAAAATCTGGAAAAGCCACATGATTCTTGGTTCCATAAATATTTATATCACTGAAATAAATTTGTTTGATTTTAAATATGATTTATGTTAGAAAAAAAAATATCGCCAATCACCTTTAAATACAATGGATGTTAAACCCATAGACAATATTTTTCTGCTGGACATCTCTGTAGAGATGTTAACTTCCAGATTATTTCATTTAATCCTCCAACTTTTATTTGAAACTGAATTTTTATACTTTGCTATAATCCATTATAAATAGTAAATTACTTCAAATACAAACGCAAACAAGTAACATCATTTTAAAGTTATTGGTACAAGTCTGCCTCCCTAAAAAGGTTATTGTTGATGATTTAGGTTAGCAAGGAGAGAGTATTTGCAAGGATATGTGTTTTCAAAATGAGTTGAATTTTGTCAGAAGAGCTTCTTGGTGTTTTTCATTTCCTAGGGAGTTCCAGAAGTACTAAAATTATATTGAGACAAAGTGTTTATGTTTCAAAAGTCCAGGCTCTGCATTCCAGGCTACATACTGAGGGCTCTCAAAACAGAGGCAGCTTTTACTAAAATTTGGGAAATAAGGATCACTCAAGGGCTTGGACTAGTACATTCTGGAAAAATAGATGATAAAGAGCCAGCTGAAAAAGGGAACAACCTAATCCTGGGTTTGGCAAAATTTTCTGCAAAGGGTCTGTCTCATAGCAACTATTTAAAGTTTTGTGGGCCACAGGGTGTCTGATGCAAGCTCTGCCCTTGAGTTTAAAGTAGACATTGACAATACATATATTGTGAATGGTGCTGTTCCAATAAAACTTT